TCTAACTCTTGTTTTAATATGGCCATCCTGTGCATTTCTTTTTATAGTCTGAGCATCATATGTGTGACATATTTTATATGAACAAAATCTGATGTGCTCTAATTATTCAAAATTCAAACAGCACTCTGTAAATTTGTAAACAAATTCAGTGGTATGTTAGCTCTACACTTCCCGCACTTAGTACAACAACTTAGTAACACTTAGTACACACTCAGTATGCTAAAGCTATGTTGTTGTTTTTTTACAGAAGAATCTAAATATTAATTTACTTTTGACCGACATTACACAAACTCTTCATGTCACCCCAGCATTACTGCTGTCTCACATCTCATGTCTAGTATAAGCAATGGTTTCTGTCTTGATTGTGCAGATCAACAGTATGGTTTACTGACATAAACTTGACAGGACCACATACTTTCTGTAAGCTTCTTTGCACATGTTGCCATCTTCTCTGACTTTTGTAAGCTTTATTCATTTGCTCACACAGATACACATTTGAAAGGATATCATATCTAAATTATTATACATACCACTTCTCTCTCTGCATTCACTAGAGATGTTTGATTTGACCTCCTACTTGCACCCTTCTCTGAGAAAAGGAAGGACAAAGCCATTAAAGTAAAACAAACTTTGGCATATATACAAAAAAAACAAGATTGCTGTATTAGGTCATTTACAAAATACTTATTTGTGGCAAGAGCTCATGCTCACACATAGACATATACATTAAGCAGATGAATATACCTTTGCCAGAATCCATATAGATGGATAGGCCACCAGGAGGAGGCTGGTCTCCTGGAGGTATCATGACTCGGACACCTGAAGGCTTTCTTGGGACCACCGGAGGAGGTGGTCCAGACATCTGTTGTGTATGGATGCAGAGTCAAATCAAGGCTTTACAAAATATGCAATAGGGGATAATGATCAGGTACTTTAATATGTACTACATCATGTTTCTAACTGACCAGTCTAGATATATAATGTGAAACATTTGGAACATTTAACCCAACTGATCAAAAGAAGGTCAACTTCACTTAATCTGAATTTTGTCCAAAAAAAAGAAAGACAATTGAGAACTTGATATTTCCACATTCCACTAGCTGATTGTAAGAATGCTGAGTATTCTGTTTACATGCATGTCTGTGACAGGAAAAACCACCGTCACCAGTTGACTCAACCACCATAACTTAAAAATCATACCAGCTGAACATAAAAATCTGTTCAAGTTTATGTTACGCAAACATAAAATAGCTTTTTAGTTTGACATCTCTTTCCTTAATCTTCCTGACTTTCGTCTCTTATTCCTCCTTTTCCAACATATTGACAAAGCAGTGAATTCTGCACAAACTATTTCAAGCTATTTCCAGACAAAACCCTTCATGCAATTACAAATGAGCAACATATTACTGACACAAAGCAGCTGTCCTTCATAAGCACACACACACAGATTGCCCAAAGTAAATCTAGATACATCATTGTACCTTTCTGTGTAGTTTCAGTGTTTAAATCCAAGAAACAGAAACCAGTCCCTGTGCTGAGTTGAATGAGCACTGAGCTTAGCAGTTTAGACGAGGACGTCCCACCTTCTTGAGATATGCAGAAACAAGAAAAACTTGACTGGCTCCTCTTGCGCAGTTAATTGATGTTGCTCCTCTGATTCTCTGATACACACACATAGCTCGTCCCTCCCATTCTTTTTTTTTTGCATCTTAGAGAGCCTCCCCTTCCTTAAGACAGGAATTTCTATCAACAGCCTGTGTTGATCTGCAACACCACCTGCAATGCCTTTCAAGAAGCTTAATGCTGTGTCATTTGAGATTATGATAACAAAGCCAAAAATAAGACTCAGAGGTGGAAAAAAGGTACTTGAAAATTCAAATTAAAAAATATTTATAAAAAGAAAATATAAGAAATTAAGATTTAATGTGGATTTTCCTCAAAAAAGAAATGGTATAGTTAAGTTGGGCAAACCAATTTTATTTGAGCATTCCTTTCCTTCATGGCCATCCGAACAAACTGTTAAATGATATGTGAGAATATTAAGTTTCTGTTATGGAGACGTTTCAGAAAACTTTAACACTGCTGGCTTGTTTAATGTTTAGCATCTTAACAGATGGTTGTTGAATAAATTATTATTGTGGATGTATGTGTACTTTCAGAAAAATGTTCTGTCAATAGGGCCTGAGCCAGACTTCAGTTATCTCTCTTTTGAATGTACACACCTGGAATGGATGTTACTTTGCCATGAAGACGGGTCAGGGTAACGGTGGTAATGTTAGACCAAGGCAATGAACAGCGATCAAAAGAATCCTGGCAGAAGTCCTAGAGTGATCGTGAACAAGGTGTAACTTCATGTTGACTCTATTTCTCGGTGCCCACCCAGCAAACAGGTGGGTACTGAGGGAGCGTTCCCTGAAGGTTACATGAAGCTTATTTTGAAAAAAACTTTAGAGAACTTTCTTAAGGGTTTACATTTGTTATATTCCACGTCAACGTCAAAAAAAAAAAAAAAAACAGGAAGGAGAGGCTGGAGGAGTTGCTCAATGCAGACGAAGTCAAAAGTTTGACTGCAGTCTGCGACAGTTTGCAGGCATGTGATGGCACGCTTGGGAAGAGACCCGATCTGTGGCAGTCTTTAGCCTTTGCTCTGCTCTGTGTTCAGGTAAATATGGTGGACTGTTGTTAGGGTTATGGCTTAGATTTGTATTAGTGGTCGAGTTTGTCTGTGTATAGTTGCTTGTATACCTTTCAGGAGCTTGATTCCCCTCTTTCTGATCTCCTCAACTCTAAAAAACCCGTGCCCAATGTGGGACTCAGACCCACAACCCTGTGATTATCGCAAAGCCAGGGGACACCAAGTCAGTTTCCCCAGTTCTGCTTTATGGCATTGGGGAAAATTGAGCTGTTGGTGAACAGTGACACCAGCTGGTTGTGACAGGACAGACTCCATCTGTCCCTGCAGCTCTCCTGGTGTTTAACTTGACTGTTGAATAGCTGGGGAAACTTTAAACAGGTGTTCAAATCAAAGAGATGATTGAATTAGCAAGTTTAGAGGAGAAAGTTGAGAAATGAGCCACTGGCTGTCACACACCCACAAAGCACAATAGATTCACCTCAATGCTTTATGCTTTCCGCACATTGTTCCAAACAGCCTCTAGCTTTTGTGTACTGTTTTGTAATAACTAGGTGTAGGCCTGCAACTCTGCAGCAATTGTGGGGATTTGGTTTGTAGTGCACAACATTCTATTTTACAAGCACTTCTAACAGATCTTGGCTTGTCTTTGTGACATTTTGAACAGCAGAAATAATAAACTGGTGGGGTGTATGTATATTTGTATAGCCTTTCTCTGCTTTGGGTCAGTTATCTTCACTTTCCAGTCAGCTGCTCCCTGCTTGGAGGATCCGGTGGGTGTTGACTGTAGAACAAAAGGCTGTAGGAACAGAACATTTTCTGTGCAGCTGCCGTCACCTGGCTTGAATTAAAGCCAGAATACTCACGTACTCTGTGAAAAGGACATTTTAATCTAATAGTGTAATTTTGCATTTAAACTTTAAGTCGCAGAGGGACACTTATAATCTGCTGCATACCAACAGTAGGGGTACAACGCTGTTCCAGTGATGTGGAGGAAATAGGGGACACCCCGATCCCTGTCCCTTTTGCATTTGGTGGAAAAGTGTCCTTTTTTTCTAATGGCAGTATAAAGATTTGCCATCCTCATCACAAATTGCCTGTATCATCTGGCTGTATAAAGGGTATGCCCTAAATGTTAAATTAAAACAAAACACAACAGGGGACTGATCTTACAGCTGTATCCTGTTTATCTCCCTAAAAAAATGATCTGGTCTGTGACTGATATTACAGGAACCATAAGCTTTATAGCCTGTAAGCTGTGTATTCCTGACTACATTAATCTATGAAAGTATTTAGAGTCATTTTAGCACATTCGTTCCACTAGGGGGAAAAAACGTTTCTGCCACCAACAGGTGGCAGCGAATTTACTAACTTGTAAGTACAGCTGTGACCACAGACTTGACTTTCACAGGCCATTCTCTTCTGTGCCAATATATAATTTTTTTGTACACATATTTCAATACCAAGCCAATTGCTAAAACTTCCCACTGAAGCAATACGTTTCTCTGCTCTGTGGCTTTGCTGAAAGAAATCAGCTGGTAATGTTGATGTTATGCTGTTTAAAATTATTGTGTGGTTGTATTTAGCTACTTTAAATATAGCCCTGGTCATGAGATATGTTGCTTGCTGTCCACATGCGGACACAATAAGCGTCATGGACAGAGTTCACCCCAGCTTTTAATAGCCTACATTTTGAGTTCTTCCAATTTGGCATTTCTGAGACATTTGTTCTATATGATGCATTGTGGATTCAGAGACTGGTTGATCTCTCTCTCAGACATTGGTTTAGAAATGTTTTTGTCATTGGCACGAATTAACTGCAATGACAAATATTAGGCTACACATGGTGATTACTTTACACTGAGCATCTCTTTTACTCCAGTACATTTGTTTGACAGCTACTTTGCAGATGAAGATATTACAGCCATGACTATGTTAGTTCACACCCCCCACCCCGACTGAGGTTTTCCTCTCTTTTCACTTGGAGAACGCAACAACAATCAGTCCAGTCAGAGAGCTGATTGCATAAGCCGCAGGGAGCTATTTGGGATTTTTTTATTTGGCGCTAATAGGCAACGATAATTAGCGCATTTTTTTTTTTGCGCTCTCTGGCCGAGTCTTAAATTGAGCTATAGCCTACTAAAGATGCAGTCAGCGCAAGTACCCTAATTCTACGGATATACGCGCAATTAAAATTGGCGACAGCGTACTTCAATGCAGTACAGAGCTGTACAGTATGATCGCAGTCAGGACACAAGCTCTCTTAAATGGTGTTTCTGTAAATCCTGCAGACACATTCAGCAGCGTGTAATCTTGCGTTGTCCAGCCCCGCTGAACGCTTTGGGGAGGGGCAGATCGGCCTCGTCAGTCTCCCCCATTGGCTCCAGCTGCACTAACTTCTCTTATATGTCTTTTAGGGTTGGCGACGACAGAGTTTGTTCCAGCGCAAGAAACGTGGCTACAAGTTGTCAAGCCTATCTGCCTCAACAAGTTGTATTTGTTAGTCTGACTATTGCCAAAACCAAAAAAAAAAAAAAAAAAGGAAAAGGAAAGAGTCTAAACGTAGCGTTCCTAGACAGGGACAAAAAGGGACGAACAGAGAAACCAACCAAGACTTCTGGAAACTCTACTCCACTGTTGGACCGTGCTGTCAGCATGGTATGTCCACAACACATCGTTGATTCACTTTAACACTTTATTAACATGACTTTATGAGCTCCAATGACTACACTCTGATCTTATTGTTCACTTGTTGCTATTACTTGGCTGCCCTCTCTTTTTTCTTGTGGGGTGTTTAGGACTTATAGGTTGTATAATTCACGTTAACAACTAGACTCCTTTGTCTGTTACTTAACCAGTCATGAATCGGATTTAAGGCTGTGGTTTGGCTCATTTTGGATAATCTCACCTATGCAGCTGATTATCTGTGCATAGGCTGCTCATGCTACACAGTAGCCTATGTTCAGCAACAGACATGTTTCAAAACCCTCAACTGGTAATGTATCTGTACATAAAGGCGACTGTAATGTTATTAATTAGACTGTAGGCCTGCAGCAGGACAAACAGCCAAATATTAAATTTGTTTACTTTTTTAAAGTCAATTAGTTTAGTCCCTTAACTTTGGGGTGATGGCTACAAAATTTAAAACAAGTCCTACACATTGATCTGATGTGGATTGAAGTTAAACATCCGCAGCACTTTAACCTCACAGTCAATTTTTTATTTAAAATGCAGAGTACAGAGCCAACACAACAGTAATGCAACTGTCCACAAACCTACAGACTGCACTGTATTATGTAACTTAAAATGTATTTTAAACATTCACATAGGCTACACTTATTTTCCTTGGTATTCCACAGGCAAGCAGCTACACTGAAAGGGGAACATTTGTGTGTGAGTGTAATGCTGTGGTGTGTGTGTGTGTTTGTGTGTGTGTGTGTGTGTGTGTGTTTGTGTGTTTGTTGGGGGAAGTATATTATGTGTATTTGCTAGTGTATACCTGTGAAGGATGGTGGCCCCTTAAATGTATGCTGAGATAAATTCCAGCCCCAAAATATGGTGAGGCAGATAGAGAAAGTGACTAAATAAACTTGAAATCTGTTGCAATGATCATCTCAGTGTTGGTGGATAATAGCTGATAATATACTGTAGCTCCCTTTCTGCAGCTTCTTGGAGCAGATAGTTAGCCTTGTTAGTATTCTTCTTTAAGTATGTATGTATCTACAAGATTATTTTCCTATATATCATGGTTGCACATATGTTTTGCACAAGGCCGACATCAGCACCGCAGCAGATCTTGTGAGATAGGCCTACTCATTTTAAGTATAGGTTGACAAGACATTACAGTACATCAGCTGGTGCAACCAAGTTCATGTCTTGATGATTGTGATAGTTTAATTTACTCTTGAGCCAAGAGGGAAGCATTACAGAAACGTTACTAGGTCCTGATTTGGCAGATTACCAAACATACAGGAAAAAAATTCTCTGGCTCCTTTTCAAACATGACGATGACATGTAAAATTACTTGCTTGAAAAGGCCTTTATACTGGCTGTTTGTGCAGGGTTAGGGAATCTGCAAACTGCCATACTGTTTAAAGCATTCCTCAACAAAAAATGTAAACCTATATAACAGAGTGCATATGTGTGACTATAATTTATTGCCACTTTATGGTTTTATATATAAGCGGAACTATCTTATTTACTGCCTATTCGGTATTCAAGCCTCTTGGAGCCATTCCCTAAACCCAACAAGAAGTCGGCCATTTTTGATTAAATGAACGTCGAGTGTTTAATAAATCGGGAAACTTAGTCATTTTTGACAATTTACATGCTCTGTACTTTAATGAACTACTCCTAGAAAATTAATCTGATCAACTAGATATTTTCACTGTGCAATCAAATGACATTGGTGATGAAAAGATGAGCAAAACAGTGAGTTTTTATCAAAAGGTGTGTCTGTGGTGTGGCATTGAAAATCAATCATTCGCCTTGAAACAGGAAGTTATTGTAATTTCAGTGTACATGCTCACATCTGTGCTAAACTCATCATGTTTAATAAGTTCCACCCTGAACATTTGACGTTCTGGGATATAACGTATAATTACCAGGTGCTCTTTAGCGCCACCTAGTGGACACAGGAAGTGATGTTTAATTCCTTTGAGAGGTGTCAAAAGTGCGTGATAATTCTGAGCCGCGTCGACAACCTGAGGCAACAAGCCCCAAATTGTGTAATGGCACAAGGGCCCATCCAACGCTGCTTGTAGCTTTAATTTGGATTTCATCTGATAAAATGAATGTGTACTCAAAATACAGCAGCGTGCAAGTTGTGTAAATACAGGGATTTAATCTAGGATCATTACTAAGAAGTGTCATACAGCAAAACTCAAAACCCAATTTGCAGTGCAATGTTTTGTTTTGTTGTACCAGTACAGTACATACTGTAGGTAAAAGGGAACAAGATGTTAAGTTAGGGGGTATTTTTAGAAACTTGTTGGGCTTATTGTGTATTTACTATTACTGTTTACCGTTCACCGAGGACATAGGTGTGGTTGCCTGCAGCTGTACCCAGAGATAGACCCTGAAAATGTACATGATGCACTGTGTGTGCGCGTGCGCTGGGGAAAGGGGACTATGGGGCAAGAAGATAATTTAAGGTTAGTATAGTATAAAAAGAGGAGGAATGACGAGAATAAACATGCTGTATTTTTCCACATGCAAGATGTGTTAAAAGTAGGGCTGGGCACATTAACACAATAATTAATTAACGCTGACAATTATTTTATTGCATGTTAAGGCAGTTTTTATTATTATTATTTTGAAAGTCTGTTGCTCACTGGCTCTGAGTACACATAGCCTACACTCAAACCATGGGTTACGGGAGGGGCAGGATGTTGATCAGCCTGCAAATCACCCACCCTAACAAGCAGTAGAGGGAGGCTTCGGCAGACTATGTTGGCTGCAGCATGTGGGAGAAGTAGATAAACAAAAGCAAGACAAGCATGGAACGTTCTTAAAATCACAGCATAGTTGCTTGGCCCCGCAGGGTGCTATTACCTGTTCAGAAAAAAAACAAGCTGGATAAAAGGTAATGCCCTGGCAGTGGCAAATAGCTTTGGTTTTATATTTGATTTAATTACATTAGAAATATTTTATTGCTACTGTGTAAAGGGAATACTGCTGGTAAAAAGCACCTTATTTGTTTAAAGTGTTTGCAAACCACATGTTATTGCACTTTTGTGTATAGCAGTAGCCTACATTTAAATTAAAAGTGCGATCATGGGATTAATTGCGATTAAAAATCTTAGTCGTTGCCCAGCACTAGTTAAAATAAATTGTATTGCATCTGGATGCAGATATGTTCATTACGATATTTTTTAACAAAATACAAGAAGATACAGTCTTGCTGTGTTGTTGACAAGCTTGCGGATACACTGAAATATCCAAACTGAGTTAGGGGTTGAACTGTATCTGCATTTATGTACAGGCTCATTTCAGTGACCAACATTTTTCTTTGATGTGTCACCAAGGTTACTCACAGATCTGATAGCCATACTTTATCAGTTTATAACATACTAGTACTGAATTAGGTTAAGGTCACCTTGATGAATCATTATTCAAGGTAAGCTGAATCTGGAGGTAAAGGCATGTGTCTTATCCACTGCACCATCACGACCCCTGCATTCCATCCATAAGTAACACAATGAGACAATGTATGACTATTTTGGTCATGGGTTACATACATGTTATGTAATAAAGCATCTAAAACCCCAAATCTAATCAGATGGGTGATCCTGGGACTAAATCTTATAAAATTGGGATCCGTGGTCCAAGTTTAGGGGTCCTCGACGTGAAAAGATTTGAGAACCACTGTTCTAGTCAGTGTGAACCGAACACTCCCTGCCGGGCTCCCCCACCCACGTATCACCAAAGACTATTCCTCCTTCTGCCTAGTGGCTACTGCTCTTCCTACTTCCCCTCCTCTCTATATTTGAGCGCATGCACATTTTTGTCACTCTCCCACAGTGTGTGTGTGTGTGTGTGTGTGTGTGTGTGTGTGTGTGTGTGTGTGTGTGTGTGTGTGTTCATATTTCTGAAATCACCTGCCTCATCTGGCCATGTGTCTTGACCAGCCACGTACGTTTCTGGGTCATACACCTCCCATAATTTTCCATTCTCCAGTGGCACATGCAAGTCATCCAGCTAAGTCATATCCTAATGCCTGTTTGGCTCGTGTCATTTTGGATCATGCCCAGTCATCTGAGCTAAATTAGTTGGTGAGGGTGTGCAGTTGAAATGTAGTATAATGATCTGATGCTTTATTGTTCTTTTTGAACAGTTAACCCTAATATTGGGGTTTTCTGTGCATTTTAGTAAGTTAATGGCAAAGAATTTAGATGACCTAATCACTGTTTTCATGTGGATAATTTTCACATAACAAACCACAGAAGAAAACACAGAATAATATATTCATTGGAAATGTTGCTTAATGATGCACTCTTTGACAGTGCCAACGTACATTTTTATTGCTGTTAATGTTATACTTAAGAATTCGATCTTGGTTCATTTGGCAACCACAGTGACATTTCCATGTAGTGCAGAACGTCTTATTATGGCCAAACTGTAAATAGATTCTTACCATACACACATTTATTTATATATATATATATATATATATATATATATTTTAGTTGATCTATACTGTCCTATTTCAATATAAAACTTTATATCAGTTAAATTTATCCTTCTTCTTTGTTTATGACAAGACAGAGAAGCCTCCTCTGGACAGCAACGGGGATGAGGCTTGGCTGAGCGAGGGCCAGTCTGAAACTCAGCTTACAACTGCACAAGGTCTAGACGGAGATGAGACATATGATGAAGACCGGCCAGCATGGGACTCTAAGATTCAGTATGTGTTGGCCCAGGTAGGATTCAGTGTGGGCTTAGGGAATGTGTGGAGGTTCCCATACCTTTGCCACCAAAATGGAGGAGGTGAGTGTCTTTAAAGTAAGAATTGTACATTTCAACTTAGTGTTTTTGACTGATCATCACGCTAGCTCTCTTGAAAACAACTTTTACCTTCTTTATATAAAAACATACAAAACACATAATAAAGTAAAATTTGTTTAAGAAAAAATAGAATGCCTTAGGTATGCCTGCATGTTTTTAAGTCTCCTTTCCCTCCTTTCAGGGGCCTTCATGCTGCTGTATGTTTTTCTTTTACTGATTGTGGGAGTTCCACTGTTTTTTATGGAGTTGGCAGCTGGCCAATGCATTCGGCAGGGCAGCATTGGTGTGTGGAAGCACATCTCCCCAAAGCTGGCAGGGATCGGCTACTCCAGCTGCATGGTGAGAATTCTGGGTTTGGGACTGAAGTGTTAATGTTATACATTGGATTATTTGTTAGTTGGGACACACATATGTGCAAAATTATTATCATAGCTCGTAATATCTGGGCTTTTTCATATTTGGCTTTTTCATATTTGGCTTTCAAAAATAGGGCCATAATCACTATCTTTAATAGAGCCCCAGAATGAAAAGATTCATAAGCAGAAATGTTTTCCTCCACTTATCTCATTAAAAAGCTAGAGCACATACTACCTTTTTTCGTCACCTTTCTGTAAACACCTTTCTTTTTTCTTACAAGCCACACTGTGTGTATACTTAAGAAAAGATGATGATCATATCCTGCCAAGCTGTAACATGAGAGAGGCAGTGCGCTATAGTGCTGGCAGTTTGTTGCGTAACACTTTTTCTCTACAGACGGGACAAGGTGAACACAGAGTAGACAATAATTTTCTGTGCACATACTGCACACTGACATATACTTCTTGCCTTAAACATTTAAAACAGTTTATTTTCCAAAGCCTCTTGTCGTGTCAGTCAATGTCAAAATTGATTATGACTACACTTCAAGTACGCCTTTTCCTATACACCTAAAAATAACTTTTGAGTTACATACGCATTAAATTAGAAAAAACTTAAGGTCATTTGCTATTCTCCACTTGGTAAACACAATTTTCCCCTTGACAGAATTTTTCACAGAATAAACAATATACCAGCACATACTGTATCATACATCTCAATGACTTGCTGTGTAAATACTGATAATTTATTAAGTAAATCATTCATGAACCCTCTCTTCTCCTCTAGGTCTGTTTTTATGTGGCTCTTTACTATAATGTTATCATTGCATGGAGCCTGTTCTACATGGGTAATTCTTTTCAGTATCCTCTGCCGTGGGAGCACTGTCCAGTCGATGTAACCACCAATGACACAGGTACTTGTATAACTGAGAAGTTCATCAAAATGAGATGTCACGTAGATGCCAGTCCAAGGTCTTTAGTGTTATCTGTCCTCTATCAACAGTGAAAGAATGTGCAAGTTCTTCCCCAACGTCGTATTTCTGGTTTCGGAAAGCCCTTAACATCACAAATTCTATCGAAGAATCCGGAGAGTTTAACCCCATCATGACCGGCTGTTTATTGGCTGCTTGGACAATTGTCTCTTTGGCTATGATCAAGGGCATCAAGTCTTCTGCAAAGGTAAGTAAACATCTCTTATCTTTGTCACCCCAGTCTCAGGGGTCCCTATATCAACAACCAATAATTACAAACATTAATACTTCTATCAAATTCAAATTAGCTTTATTGGCATGAATGTATAACAACAATATTGCCAAAGCTACATATAAATTACATAAGAAGAATTAATTTCATACATTTCATTAAATAAATAAAACAGTAAAAGTTGTTTTTGTGTGTGTATCATTGTTAAAGGAATATAGTGACATTTTGGGAAAACCACGCTTTCTGGCACAGAGGTAGATGAGAAGATTCATACCAGTCTCATCTGTCCGTTACATATTAGTGACAGCCAGTTAGCTTAACTCAGCACAAAGACTGGAAACAAGGGGAAACCGCTAGCCTGGCTCTGTGCAAAGGCAACAAAATCCGTCTACCAGCACTTGTAAAGTTCAGACAAGAAATTGTTTTGAACATAGCCCCCAAAAAATGGTAAATTGCAATATTTACACTTGTTTTTTCGTGTGACATAAACAAGTGAGATATGGTGTGTTAATTAGTGAGCTTTAGATGTGCTGGTAGGTGGTTTTGTTGCCTCCAGAGAGAGCCAGGCTAGCTGTTTCCCCTTTTTTTTCAGTCTTTATGCTAACCTAAGCTAACTAGCTGTCCTTTACATCATATGTAAGAGAATGAGTGGTATAAATTTTATCATGTAACTCTCGGCCGAAAGCAAATAAGCATTTTTCCCAAAATGTCAAACCATTCTGTTAAATATTTCTGGCACATAAATCGTCCTCAAATTCTTTGTCCAAATCTTAGGTGATGTACTTTTCCTCGGTCTTTCCCTATGTGGTGCTCTTTATTTTCCTCATCAGAGGGTTGATGTTGGACGGTGCGATAGATGGAATCACCTATATGTTTTATCCTAAAGTAAGCACATATTTCATGTGTTTGATCATATTCATTTTGCCATCTTTACCTTTTTCCTTGTTTTCTTAATTTTTATCCAAATGGAAATGGTTAGATTAGTTAGACATTTTCTATGTTTTGTAGTCTTTACAAAAATGTAGACTTAATGAGACTTTATTTTGTGGTATTTTTCAGCTTGAAATCTGGGGTAATGTGCAGGTGTGGCGGCAAGCTGCCACACAAGTGTTTTTTGCCCTTGGACTGGGCTATGGCTCCGTTATTGCGTATTCCTCCTACAATCCAGTCCACAACAACTGCCACAGGGACGCGCTGATGGTCTCCGGCATCAACTTCATGACATCTGTGCTGGCCTCACTAGTGGTTTTTGTCGTGCTGGGTTTCCGTGCCAAGAACATCGCACTGCGCTGTGTTGCTGAGTATGAATGTGTTGGTATTGGTATTGATAATATCAGTGCATTATCAACCACATAATTTCTAAAGCTGGCGAAATAGCTACTAACATATAAGCCAACAAGGTATAATTGTTACTTACCTAAAAAGACAGTATTCTCAAAGACCATACCGTTTAATTAGGTAAAATAATTAGTTTTGCTTTGGGGCCAGAAAATAAAACCCTCTTGCTTTAAATATGTATCCAATTCAGGCACATTTGCAGTGGATTGTTAAATGTAAGATATCATTTACTCTGTGGTTGGAAAAGGTTTATTGAAGGCAAACACTTTCATGCACTGCTCAAAGACTTGTTATAGTTACAGTATAAAAGGACCAAAGGGTGGAATGCAATTATTCTTGATATCTGACGTGTAATTAATAATTATTCAGTCATTATACTGGAACAAATATCTTTTCACCGCATGTATTGCCTTTCTTATATTTTATCTTTTTATTCTTACTTTTTCTAGAAATCTTGGTCTTCTAAGCATCATGACATCCTATAAATCTAACCAGAGCCTGGCTGGCCTTGGTTGGCCTTGGATCAACGCGACAGATCCAAGCTCTGTATCTATAGCTGAATACAGACAGTGGTACAGTGACCACAGCGCCATGGTGGGTCCTAACATCACTGACTGCAGTCTGGAGGAGGAGATGAATAAGGTATCCTTGAGATATAATTTTAATCTTTCTTTATTTAGGGGTTATCAAGACAAAAGTCATAACATGCTCCACAAAAAGTTAAAACCAGAAACTACCTTCAGGGGAATCATTTAACAGTGAAAGGGATTAAAAAAAATTTTTAATAAAAAAAACAAACAAGTCAAAGCATATAGTTTTGATGCATCTGCCTTTTTAAAAACACATTTTTGAGATATAAAGGTATTGTTGCTTTATGAAGCTCTGGGCACTGGCTTCCTTAAAGAAAAACAGAGGTGAACATTTCAATAACAATACTAAGTAGATGGAGTGCTGAGTTTCCCAGAACCCCTGAGGAATCTGCGAAGACTTGTAATACATCCAGCTGGCAAGAGAAAAAAACATATATCTACACTGTATATAGTAGGTCTCTAGAAATGATGGAAGCAAGCTGTGATAGAGGAGTGAAAGGAGAAACAGGTAGGGGTACTTGAAGTCATGTTATCTAACAGTGTTTATTTTATCAAGAAAATACCGTACTCTCAAAAATAGAAGTACACAAGGAGTACTATGCTGTAATATTGTACTGATCATATCACTTTCATAAGTATACCACAACATGCACATATTAGGCCTTGTTTTAGCAGATATGTAGCTTTTGATCTGACATAAATGTGCAGAGACATTTTATTATATAGTTTTAAATGTAAGCTGTTCAGCATGAAATAAAGGTACCGTTACTCAAATCTCTAGCACATTGGTTATGTGGCCCTGGTGGCAGAGGGATATAAATACTCACCCTCTACAGCAGTGATTCTAGTATGGTGCTATTGAATGCCAACATGAACCAAACATGCAAAAATGAAAGGGGAAAAATGCAGGTCTTCGTAGGGAAAAATACAGATTTTTCATAGCTATAAATAGTGGTCTAAAAACAGACAACTGGGTAATGTACATAGGTTGCATAAGATGCTGCTGGAAATACCAGTCCCAAGCCACATATTTCATTTCCTGTATGGGTGTGCATGAAGCCACAAAATACTTCTTTGCAATCTTCAGTCATTTATACAATTCACATTCAGACTTATTCTATCTACCTTTTCTGTCTTCCCTTTGTATGAACGAAGGGTGTTGAAGGGACAGGCCTGGCATTCATAGCATTTACCGAGGTGATGGCCCTTTTCCCTGCCAGCCCCTTCTGGTCCACACTGTTTTTCCTAATGCTGCTCAACCTGGGCCTCAGCACCATGTTTGGCACCATGCAGGGAATCCTCACACCTCTTATGGACAACTTTAGCCTCTTGGGGCGCCACCGGACACTACTGACAGGTAGCGCACACAAGTCAACACGAGATCAAACAACGCTGTTTATAACAGGCACTTCAGTGTGTGTTTAAATGACTCTTGTCCAGGCATGTATGGTTAAACTAAAGATTTATACAGATGAAATGTGAAATATTTCATCCTAGGCAGTACATTTTGATGTCTGGCTCTGCACTCTTCTTACTTTTTAGAATTCAGATCTATTACCTCTAAATACTATAAAACAATTGTCTGTTATATACAGTTATTGAAAAGTATGAAAAGCTTGAAAAAATTACTTTGACAGGCAATATTGGACATTGATTGTTCTTGATTATTCATGAAAGTGTTTAAAAACAAAATTACTCTTGCGAGTTGAAAAGTTAAGTTGAACATCAGTCATTGAATGTGTTTGCAGAAATTAAGGATACATCACTATCAATAGATGTTTCCTAACTAGGTGTTGAAATTACAGTAGTGTTTATATCAGAAATACATCACATGCATTGGTTGTTCAGTTTTAAGGTTATTTTCTAACACTGTCTGCCTTCTTACTTGTTTTCAGTGTCCAGCTGTGCTTTGGGGTTCTTAATGGGACTGTTGTTCACCCAGCGTTCAGGCAACTATTTTGTGACTATGTTTGATGACTACTCTGCAACTCTACCGTTAGTCATTGTGGTAGTCTTTGAAACCATTAGTGTGGCGTGGGTTTATGGAACAGATCGGTGAGAAACCAATATTTCTGATAGCTCTTTACTATTACAGTTGTTTTTCAATTGTAAGCATGCATTGGTCAAAACTAAAGTCACATTGTCAAAACTCTTCACGCAGTCAGTGAAGCAGACATCTACGTGGACCCAACTGTGAATCGTTTTTCATTGCTTGCACATAAAATGTATCCAATAACCACATTTTCCAAAATCATAAAGTCTTTTCTCATTCTCCACCATCTGCAAAACACTATATATTTGCAGAACATTTTTTCAAATACTAACACACTGTGTCCAAAACTTTTAAAAACACATTCAGAACTGAATGGTGGCAAACTGAGTGCCTTTCTGCAGTAACCATATTGACATATATAGACAAATTTTTAGCAGAAAATGTACAATAAAATGAAATGATAGTCATTCCAAACACAGCTGATTGCAAATGCTAAAAGCCTACCCAGGTGGTGTCCTGTTTTTACAGTCTTGTTACCAAAAAGACAAAAGGGGACGGTTTTGGAATGATTTCGTTTGGACACATGGATCAATTAAGACAGGTTGGTGAAAGGTGTTATTCTGTAATGAAATACTCATTTATGTGAACAGCCTTTCAAACTTCAAAGATAAAAAAAATCATCATTTATCTAATGATCCCTGTTTTTTAGGCCAGTGTGAGTGACATTGTATGCTTTCTGAGTGAGAAATGTTGTGTCATGGTCGGATGGTGTTTATTTTAAGACATGTGAAGTGTTTTGGTGGTTTGAGTGAGCGTTTTGGAAGTGAGTGACTGGTCAATGTATTTCAATGCTGACTGTAGGAAGAGTTTTGAGAAAGTGGCTACAGTATTGACCAATGAGGTTGAAAGTTGGGGGGAAAAAAACTCTGTCCTGTTTCATTGTCTTTGTTTTTTTGTGTTTTATTTTGAAATGAAACATCTCATATAAATATTTTTCCTTTACTGCAGCTTCCTGGATGACATTGAAGTTATGCTCAAATGGCGTCCTCCAGTGATTTACAAATACCTTTGGAAATATGTTTGTTTACTAGCAATGGTTGGTCTTCTGGCTGCCAGTTTGTTACGCATGGTCTTCAAAGCACCCACATACACCGCCTGGAATGAAAGCACAGTAAGATACTAGCCCGCTGCTTTTTGTCCTACACAGAAGAACTATGTGACAGAGTATACACCAAGACACCTCTTTGTGTATTTTTTCTCCTAACTGCACTTAATAACTACAAAAATAACTGTTGATTTGTGTCAAGCTGTTAAAACACATGTTGTAGTGTGATTAACTCAATATTTGTTAATTATACTTTCAATGTGTTTTGATGTTGTCATTATTTTGTTTGTAAGTCTTATTTTTGATTTACAATTTTGCTTAACCTATATTTATATTCTTATTTATGGATATGCTAGTATAAGATGCTATAAATACTCACTTAATTTTAACAATTATACAAAATATTTAGGGAAGCAGTCCTTTAAGTCCTTTAGTGATAAAGATGATTAACAGTTTCTCTCTCTCTCTGACGTGCTCTGTCTCTTCCTCTCATCAGGCCTCTGAGATGACCCTTGAGTACCCCGGCTGGGCCCTTGCGATGATTGTCATGCTTATAGTTGTTGCCACCCTGCCTGTGCCTATTGTCTACATCAATTTCATGTTGAAAAACAGGGTCCGTAACTCTCGCTCCGAGGAGGTAGGCAGCCAGGAGGTGCAACGCGAGTTGTATACAAAGTGCAGCTCCACAGAGCAGCTGGGTTCCATTTCCCACCACCAAGTCCCTTCTGAAGAAGACGAGGATCATCCCAGGACTGCCTTCCTGCCGATGGGCAACGAACACTACCAGCTCCTGCCCCAGCAGGAGGAGGAAGATGAGGAACAAGATACAGGAGTGTGAGCACAGCTATGGGAGGGTAGACGTGTGTGCAAGGACAAAAGTTTAAATATTGAACCTCAGAGAGTAATAGAGCAAGACTCTGCAAGAGTGATTACAAAATGAAGGGAGGGCGGTCATAAACAGCATCTTTTTAATCTGAGTCTTTGGGTTCAACAAGCTCTACATTGTTGACAAGCTATTATAACTATTTATATTATTGAAGGGACATTTCCAGTGAAATCAAAAGCTTTTTAGATTCTGTAAATATGGAACTACTGCCCTCCGTTCATTTTCTGAACCACTCATGTAGTTCAGAAAATAAAAACACTCTCATAGTACATGAAAAAAGGAATAAGCTGCTATATTTGGTGAAACAAAGACACTATGGAAGGTTTTAGAGGAGGCAATTGACCAGCCACCAGCATGTCAAAGTAGGTTTGTGTATTGTTTCTGCTGGCCATATTTCATGTGTGCTCATAGTTGAGCTATCCAGTGGCTGGCTAACTGAGGAAGGCAAGGACAGACAGAAATTGTGCTTTATGATGAGTATTTTTAACTAAATTGCAAATATGGATTTGCATGATAACATTCTACCTTGAGGAACGTGTGTGTGTGTGTGTGTGTCTATTTTAACATTTGTGTTCATTTCTGTTTTGAATCAGTTTGCATGTGAAATGACAGATGTTATGAATAACTTTATTTGACATTTTATTTGTATAATTTTACCTCATAGGACCACAGCAATGTTTGTACGTGTGTTCTGTTGTAGCAGTAATGTACTGTAGACGAGGACTTCAATAAACCTCTAGATGGCAGCAACCTGACTGGATGGGCCTTTTTATGATTTGCACATCAACACTCAAACCTGAAGCTTCAAAAGATCACAGATAATAGTGGTGAGGTCATTATGTATGTAAATTGGCTTTTATCTTTATTTGGGTTAAAGAGTACGATAAATATTTGTGGGGGGGTTGTATTGTATTTATTTTTGTTATTTATTATTGTATGTATTAAAGAATAATAAATCAATTTTAGCAAGTTGCTGAGCATTGCTGATTAATTCACATACATTTGCTTTTTCCAATATGGGGCTTTGGTGGGATTGAACATCACCTACCCCTTATTATACCCCCCTTATGTTATTGTTGTGCAGATACATTTCATACATATCATTTGCTAGTCACACATCCTCTCTACTTTAAATTAAGTAAGGATTTTGTATGTTTCATTCTTTAAGAAATAATACATTTTCTTAAAATGTATTAGATTATAGTGTAGTATGGTGTTATCTGAAGTCCTATGCTGGTTTGACAAGTCCATTCATTCAATCTCAGTTACAGTAATCAAAACATCCTGAGCTATTGAAAAAAATAATTAAGAGGCTGCAGGCCTTTTATATGACAAACATACATATATAGGCCTATTATTATTATTATTATTACATATTCCCATAGACCACAAGCTGCAAACAGTGAACTACGAAGGCCTGCGCCTGGCCCATCTGAGAGCGAAGTGGAGGCTGGTGGAGGTAGGGAGGGATGAGAGAGAGAGAGAGAGAGAGAGACGACGGTGCGCGTTCACCCAGGACAGGAGGGCGCGCGGGACATCAGCACACCGGCCGGGTCAAGAAGCTGCAAGGATGGAGATTCGACCAGACAGGTTTAAGGCAGTCGCGGGCAAAACTCTGGGGAAAATTCACAGGTACACACCTATTTCATATATTCCTGACTCCACCTCTGACTTTTCCCCATTCTAAAGCGCTTGTTTTGTTGTGCGGCACACATCAGTTCACCATGCTGCGGAATCCCTTCCTCTCTCCTCCAACCAGTAACTCACTGCTGGAGAAAAAGTTTGTTCTGTATTGATTTTTGCTGGGAAAAGAGGCGGCTGTTGGTTTTAAGCGCCAAACATGTTGTATGTAGCTGCAAAAGTCCTGCTTTAAGCAGCACAGCACAGTGCAGTGAATGGATTGACAGAGGTGGGTGACAAATGCTGCTAGTGGTGAAGAGGGTGTTTGCTTTGATTTCGTGGATATTTCATTTTTTTACTTGGTACCTTACGGGAAAAAACAAGCTAATTATTGCAGAAACTAGAAGTCAATTATGGAGATGTTATCAGGATAAAATGTGCAGTGCAAGTGCAGTGAACTCACTGTAAAGTGCATGTGGGACCGGAGGGTTTTGTTCTCCTTGTGGTTGGATGTTATATTGCATTTATTGATTTCTAAAAACCATGAAAGATTCTGTTTCTCTTATCAGATTTGACCCAGTTCAAAGTGGATAGAGTTGAGGAGTAGATGAGACGGTTACATAATGTTCCCGTGCGTTATTAGCAAGACTTGGAACCTATCTATCTATCTATCTATCATTTCATCCTCTGACAGAAGTTATTTCCTTCTTTCTTTGATTCATTTTTCATTGAATTTACCAACTTTAAGTTTATGAAATTTAATTTTAAATAACAAAGCCAATGCTTTAACCAGCTGGTTGATCAAAAAGAGACAAAGAAACAATAATAATTATCATTATCAATTATCAATAATCATTATGCAAAGCTGTGTGAACATTTAATATTTTGGGGTTGTGGCCAGTTTATTTGGACAAAACAAGCAATTTGAAGATGTTACCATTCGCATTTCTTTCACTGTTTTCTGACATTTTCTGAAATAATTGCTGCCATAAAAGGAATCTGTACTTTTGTATTACCTCTACAGCCTTTATTTAATACACACAGTGGCTCTTTGAGAGGTTTTATGAGGAAATCCATGGCTCAGCAAGACCTTGACTGTTTCATGTCTGTGCCGGTGTAATTTCTAAAGAAAAGACCAACAAATATTGCTGCAGTTTCTTATTCATAAATGTTTTAAAGTGTTGGATATATGTAAATAAATTGCATATCAATACAAAAGTTTCAACACAGATTGGTGTGCTGACAATATTTCAGTAAAAACGAGAGATTAAAGACACTGGTTGAACCTCATGCAATAGCCATTGCTTTAAGCTTTCCTCTCTCAGGATTTGAGGTAGCAACCAAACGTATAAATCCCGTCCTGAAATAGCCTGTTTTTCAGTCCAGCTGTCGAGCCACGCAAATCCCTAAACTCTCCCCTCCCACTCACTCCATCCCAGCCCATGTCACTTCCTCCAGCCGCTCCCTCCATCCTCCATCCATCCATCCATCCACTGAGCCACTGAGACACCAACACAGACAACTTTCAGCCAATCGGGGTCTCCCAGATTAACAGACATGCAAATCTCAGGCTTTTTTCTCTATTACTGGTCATGGGCCACGCATGTGCACGGCCACAGCTGATGCTATGAGAGATGTGATGTATAAGATTGAATCCAGATTGGTTTTAGTGGGCATTTCCTCAGCTTAGCCAGTGAACTCTGAGTTTGTGTGGCTGCAGTGTCAGGTGCTGGCAGTGGTTTCAATAGAAAAGTGAATATGTTTGGTGGAAAATGTATGTTTTGAGGCATGCATCTGTGTGTGTGTGTGTGTGTGTGTGTGTGTGTGTGTGTGTGCGCGTGCATGCGTGTGTGCATGTGTGCATGTGTGTGCGTGTGCATGCGTGTGGTGTGTGCGTGCGTGTGTGTGCGTGTGTGTGCTTGTGTGTGTGTGTGTGTGTGTGTGTGTGTGTGTGTGTGTGTGTGAATATGTAGCATCTTAAATGGGCATCCCTGCACTGTGTGAATAGATGAGTGTGTCTGTGTGCAATCTCACCACCTCACAGACAAAATCCCTCCTGATGAAAGCAGCCAGGAGTTCATCTATTATTTAAACATTTTCTCCATCAGAATGCATCTCCTGTTTCTATATTAAACTCCACTAGGTAAGCATAAACTTCAGCACTGTAAGGTCAAGTGCTCTCTACATCTTTGCTATCAATCTTCCCTCTTTTAACATTGTTAAATGAATGCATAAATATCATCTTCTCATCTCCTCGTGCCAAGGAACAACTCCACGGCACTACATGAAATATAATCATACACCACCTGTCTTCTTGTTGACCATTTTGTTAATTGTTAATCGTATCCCATGGACATTTTGCATCTCATAACAATGCCAGATATAGATATATTAAAAGACTTTCCAAGTGAACCGGCCGTTTGTTTGCATCAGCAGGATTGCATGTCTACACAAGGAGAGCTTGTGTTTCACTGTGCACAAGGCAATACAGAATATAACAGGTAATCCATTTTTAATCCATTTTACTTGCGGGGGAGTGCTACATTTTCACTTACCATACAGTGGTCTGAAAAGTGGTCTAAATAATACATTCAAATAATAATAAGATGAACTAACCTATTTTGTTTTTACCATTTGGGCTTTGGCAAAGAACTTTTAATTGTTCATTTCAATTTAAGAATTATTGTCAAACATCATATTATATATTACATTATGTTCTTGACATTAATACTTAAGTACACCCAGAGCAGAGCAAAAAAAAAGTCTGGTGTAAAGTCTTAACTGATGCAGTGCTGTGAAAAGCAAAGCTTAGGAAAAATCTATTTTAACATATGATATGTTATAAAGATGACTGCTCTGCTGGCAGTCATTGTAGTTGAGGCAAAGAAACATCACTCAGTGAATCCTGGGAGCAGGTGAGGTGCTTTGGGAGACGTCAAAATGCCACGTTTGAGACACTTTTGTCTTTCTATGCCAAGGTGTCACTCACTATTGTTGTTTGTGGAGGCGGCTGTGTGTACACAGGTTTATTAAAGGGTCTATAGAGATGATCTGTCAGAGCAGCTGACCAGTTTGGAAAGTCAGCCTCAGCCACACAGCATGCCCAGTTATTGGCAGCGATGCTGTTTGTATCCCTGATATCAGTAATGCTTCAATATGTCACCATCACACTTTGTTGGCTTTAACACTGTGGCACACAAACTATCTGGGAAGCAAAGAAGCAGGGAGACAAGACATTTTTTTAAGATGACCCAGCCACTCTTTGTTTGTGTGTGCATATGCAGTCAGCACTCACCCAGTGATTGAGTTATGCTATGAGAGCATTTAGATAATAAGTCTATGAAGGTCACACGTGTGGGTGTCTGAATGTTGTGTGTGTGTCCAAAGGAGAGAGAGGGAAAAAGTGGTGTGACAGGATGGGGAGGAGGGTGTCTCCCTGGGTGACACAGTCCCACTGAGACCCAATCTGTTCACTTCAGGGAGAGTGAGAGGCTCATGTTGGAAGGGGGAAACACCACTATCGAAATTACAAAATAGCTACAGAAATTGCAATTTAAAAATTGAAAAACAGTCGTAAAGCTACCGCCCACATATCAAAACACCTGACCTACAAATATAGGGCAAATAGGGGGATATCTTTTTTTTAGAAGACATGAGGAAAGAAAAGCGTGGTTTACATACAGCACAATGGAGAATCAATTCAGCACACGGATGTGGACAAATGATGGCCTGGACGTCTGGCGTTATATAATATTTTTTACTGTCAACCTCCCTCACTGTCTCTCGTTCCCTCTCTATCATCCTCTTATGTGAGGATTATGCAGAACGCTCTGTGAATTGGTGAATTTAATATACAGGGTAACAGAAGTCCCAGGTCACCAACCAGCACGTGAGAGTCGCGGTCTTATTTTGTTATAGCTGATAACTTATTGCAAAATCACAAATTAGGCAAAATTGTAAATGTTTTCTCACTATTTAAAAACAAAAATAATTCAGTAGAAGTGGCCTCCAGACAGATCGTCACTTCTTTGACCTCCTTATGAAAAAGAACAGTAATGGCTGTAAGCATAAATAGTACCTAAGGGGTTTCACATAAAATATGATTTAAATTAGTTTGAGCTTAAGGGGTGCTTAAGTGCTCCAATGATTAGTTGATTATTTGATTATTTCATTAGGTGATCTACAGAAAATTAATTGTCAACTACTGACTAATCAAACAATAGTTTTTATTTTAATGTTTTTAAAGCAAAATTAGAGCTACAGAATAGTTACAGATTGTTTACAGATTATAAATTAGCAAATGTGAGTTTTTCTATGTCACATTTAAGATTAAACTAAATGTTTTTTACATTAAAAATTTATAATTTCTTTGTTTTATAATGGTAAATCAAATAATTTTCAGATTAACGATAATAATCGTTAGTTTGTGCCCTACTTAACATCTATTAATATTCAGTCAGAATCAGAAATGATCAGAAATAATTTATTGATCCCCGAAGGGAAATTCTGTATTACAGTTGCAAACACTGCACAAGGGCAAAGGAATATAATAAAGATAGTGGTATATAGAGAAGTATAGAAATATCAGAGTAAAAATATAAAATAAAATTATATAAGGAGTGTGGATATGTACAATATTTACATAGTTAAAGGAATTGTTATGGTGAACAGTAATAAGGAATAAATAGTAGCAGCAGAGTATTGCACTATAATTTAAGCAGGTGTTATTGCACAAGGTGTAAATGCAGAAAAAAAGCAGACTGTTTTTGGTAGATTTAATTAAAGTTGTTCATTGAATCAAAGAGTTAGAATTTCCGTGTGTAAATGTGTTCAAGTCTTTTCATTTGTTATATTAAATCACTTTGACTGACTTTGTCAGTTTTTATGTTGTACGTTGAACTTTGCCTCTTGTGCTCGGGTGAGGAGCACAGATATGAGCACAGTTTGAGGTGTGAGTAGTAACTGAGTCTCTGCTGAGCCTGTTACTATTGTGATTATGATATTTCAGAAAG